GGTATTAATATAGCTAACCAATTTAGTAGAACATACATTTGCATTTTTGTTATCTTCTAATGGCGATTTTGCATACTAAAGGTAAAGCCTGCCTTAAAATGTGAAGCGCTCTCTTGATTATGCCAGCTCTTTTCTCTTTCTGCTAAGGCTATAAATAAAGCTTTCTATTTAAGGCTGCCATTATATCAACCCACCTGCTTCTGGAAGAGAGAGAGAAAAATCAGAATCACTCAACCTGCAGATTCTTGTCAACTTGTGATTATGTGAATGGTAAGTCTTAAATTTTAAAGTGTTATGTGAGATAGGCTGGAGGATTTTTTTTTTAAAAAGCAATTTCTAGTTTAACAATTACCCAAGAATTTCTGAGTACCAATGAAAGAAGACTTAGCACTGATTCATGAGACAGTGCAGCAGCTGGGAGGTGACAGTGGTGAGTAGGTAACACAGGAGAATGAAGGGTCATTTCAACTGTGGCATCAGGGCAGGAGGCAGGAATGTGGGGGTACCAATGCTTTTCTCTCTCCGAGTGTGTGTATGCTGTCTGAGGGGAATTAGGTCCTGTTCTTCACCTCCTTCCTATTCAGGATATTCTCCAGGGACAAGTGGGGCAGAGGAGGGAGAAGAGGTATTAAAGAATTTGGTATAACGAAGAGGGATAGCCTGGGGCACATGCAATCGTGTCCTGATCAAGTTCTCTTATTGGAAAGAGGACCATTAGCCCAGTCCTGTTTTAGGAAAAAAAAAAAAAAAAGCCTTTTATAAATATCTTAATCAGTCTTTTGTTGTGGTTGTTGCAAACATTTTATCATAGGTCATCTGTTAAAAAACTCATATAAGAGAAAGTTTCCAGCCCCTACCATTTGTTGAGAAAACATGCAGCTACATTTACTGTTCCTATAACAGACAAATCACCTTCAGATTTCAAAACCTGTCATCAATTGTTGATTTAAAGCATAGTTTACTTGGCTAAACCTTGCAAGCCTAGATGTATGGCCCCTGGACTGAGTAGGTAAACCGAGCTAACAATTGTGGCAATCAGCTAGCATTTCATGTTGTAGACCTATATTGTAAAGCTGTTTTTTCCTAGTAGCCATACAGTTGCTGGAGTGTGAGTGGGATGGCTTTTTTGGGAATGGCTTTTGAATGGGTAAGGGGATGTCACTGAGAGATTCATGTTAAGTGTTTGCCAAAGTACCAGGAAACACCCTCTATTGCCTAACCAAAATATAAAATTCAAAAATCAATGCCAAATACTATTTTATTCCTCAAGGCTTTCTGCACACAAAGGGAGAATAACTTCAAAATTCCTCAATCAGAAAATATCAAGGATTTTAACAAAAATAAGTTGAATGGAGCTCCCAAAGTCAACAGTGAAAAGTCAATGGAAATAACAGGCATAGGATGTATTAGTCTGACAGGGATATTAATTCTAGTAATAAAGATGACAGATCTTTACCTAAGTACTAAGTAGAATTCATAGATTTGGCTTCAAATGTTTTGTTACTAAGTTTATATGCCACAAAATCTATTTTGAATAGCTCATGTGAGCTATAGGTGACCAGGTCATAGAGAAGAGGAATAAAAAAAAAATCAATGAAACTTTAAAATGAGCATAACCTGATTTTTCTTCAGTTAGGAGATAACTACAAAAATTAGCAATAAAGAAAACAGGATTAAGATGGATCCAAGTCTCTCCCTCCAACCTTCTTTATATTCTTAATATATCTTTGTCAGGTCTTAGCCTTCTAAGCTGAAAATGATGTACTTTTTCCCTTTCCTAGAAAGCCTCAAGACACAGTCTGTTTTGTTGAACAGTTTCTGAGTGCAGCCCCTGAAGTTAAAACAAATGTCTTGACACAGAGATGAAGGGAGACCCTGGAAGTATATGTTAATTTACATGGGGCTCTACTCCATCTTATTTCTCCAAGATCACATCCTCGATTTGTACTTCTAATATAAAAATACATTTGTTCCTACTTGAGTAACGGAAAGTGACAGAAGCCAATCTTCAACGCAGGTAAAATTTCAATAATCCTTGTCTAAAGTCACACAGAAGATTGTAGCTTCTGGACTTCTGTGGGAACTGAGGAGCACAGAATATTTGACAGAACAATGAAAAAAGAATCTACCCCAAACACTGTAGAACAAATCCTATCCTGTACTATTGTAAAGTTGTTGGTGATAAGTAAAATTTGTTGGATAGTTGAGCAAAACCAGAGTTCTAACAAATGTCCTTGGGAGCTATGAAGTATGAGTCTTTGCAATTTCTGGCTTACGTTTTCAAACTTTTAAAATATTAGAAAAGCACATAATTATAAATGCAATGACTTATAAGGTAGAAAAGTGGCTTAAAAAGTGGGTATTATGAGAATTTGGAAAAGCAGAAATCCTTTACCAGGAACACATTAGGCCACATTGTTTGGGTGAGTTTTCATATTCTAGGAATATGTATTTCATACATTGAGAGCAATGTATCCATTATCTTAGACCATTAAGCTCTAGTCAGGGGCTTTTTTCTTTAGAGATTTAATGGCTAAAGAGAATAAATACTTCTCTGAAAATGCTTAATATATATATATATATATACAGAATACTGGACAATTCAGAATGAAAAGCTAAGCCAAACAAAGGACAATTTAAAATAATCCCTTTGGGAAGAAAATGTCTCTAAGATGTCATACCTAAGGGGACAAGTTGGCCCATGTGCTGGTTGGTCTGAGCTGTTATTCTCTGCTATGGTCTAGTTTGATCTAACAAAGAAGTAATCAGAAGACATAAAGGAAAATTCACACAAGTGAATCCCTTTGTGAAACTGTATATTAAAGCACCAGGGTTATAGTCAATGGAATGCCAGAGTGCTGCAGATATTAAAAGGAACACAAGTTCTGCTCCAATAGTGAGAATGTAAAAAATTAAATGCCCCTTCAATTACCAATAAATCCATTATTATAATGGATGTTTCAAGCAGAAGATAACTTAATATCCTGAAAATATTTGGTCAATATGCTTTTATGATCTAAACACTGATGCAGCTGAGACATTTTTTTGTCATCTATTGGAGTTCAAAAAGTAATTTCATCCTTGTTAGAAACATTGTGTTTAGGAATACTTCAGAAGACTACTACTCTAGTCCAGTGTTGACCAATATGGGTCCAAGAGAACTTTAGCTTTTGAAGACAAAAAAAAGTGGTTTACATCATGAAAAGAAACGGATTCTACTCAACTATGTTAAAAAATCCCCAAGGTAAACAATATTAAACAGGATTCTTGTTTATAAGACTTTTCAAAAGATTTATTAGGTTCATAGAGATTTTCAGTCTCTAAGAGGTGCTTGTAGAATATAGTATTTCTTCCAATTTATTAGTCAACGGGACTCTTTCAGAAGAATTCTTAGTAATGTCTTAAATAAATATTGTTTCATGAATCAGAATATGGAAACCCCTAAGAGAGTCCAATCTCACTTCTTTCAATGGAATAATAACTAAATCTTTAAACTAAATGTTTCCATGGGTTAACTTTAATTTCATTTCACTCAGTTGTTTTTAGCCAACATTTGTTTTGACAGAAAATAGAATCACAACGCCCAATTAATTGCTCCATGTTTCTCTCTTTTGATAATTAGTTAAAAAGTGCCTCAAACAATGTTGCAAAATCAAGATGAAGTTGTTTCTAATAACTTTTGGAAAACTTTCTCTTCAGTTTCACTTTGTTTTTAAATTTGAAAGACCCCATTCCATTTGCACCCAAGTTGGATTTGTGACAGAGTTTACAGCAGAGCTTGATTTGCAATATTTGATATAAATAAGATAATTGCCACAAATGGGAAATGAATTTCTAAAAAATCTGCAATAACCCAGGAAAGTCACTTGAACTGGCAATTCTTCAATCTCTCTATCTTATTTCCTACCCTTTATTAGGGGAGAAATGGGTTAAACTGTGTTGCAATCTAATTGACAAAAGAATTTCTGAGTCTGTCACTTTGTTACTGGGGTCAATTTAATTTTATTAAAGTCCCTGAAAATATTTTCAGGTCCTTCTCAAAATGTGAAAAGTGTAGAAACTTTCTATCTGTTCTATGCTGATTAAATTATATGACATTTCATGAACACAGTCTATATTCGATGCTTTCTCAGATCACATAAATACATGCTTTGAAAGTCATTCACTCAACATTTAGCCAAATGAAACTATGCCTCCTTTAAACCAGATCACTGGTGATAATGACATAATGCCATTTAAAAACAAACAAGAATGTCTAAGTTTGAATAACAATCATCAATACAAATTGAATTGGGCAAATATCCTTGGTTTAGAGAGTAAAATAAAGTCAGCACAATTTAACACATATATAGGGCTATAACCATGCTTTTTCCTCAGTGGAGAAAAAAAATCAGTGTTTTTTGAATAAACCTTTTTTTCCACTTCTTTAAAAACGGACAATCTCTCTCAAAAGGCAGATTCCTCTAGTGTACACAAGATAATTTTCAAAATAAAAAGCAAAATGTACTTGGTAAGAAAACAGGAAGAAACCCTGAAGTTACCTATTCAAGATGATACTGTGTACACAGTATTTGAATAGAGTACATCGGAGTGGCAGTACCTAGATGTTCCATTTGACTAGCAGCAATCTAGCCTGTGGGCCATGATCACATTTTAAATAGATCCTTAGTTGCATTAACATCATGTTATGCACGGATCACCCTGGTTTGTGTTGGCATCTGAGAAGAGCTCCTTTTTGAGAGCTTTTGAATATCTGCAATCTTGATCTTGGATACTGGTGAATACTACCCTATGATTCTTCTTCCCTTTTCTATTAACCCAGTACCAGTGGCTGATGAAAGTAAAATCAATGAGAGGCTAAATGGACCTTTTTCATTATGAACACCTACCTTACATTTTACAGGTACATTCAGTGGCACGCCACCTTCTGGAGAAACCAAGGGCTTTGTTACAGTAAACTGGTCCAGTGTGATATCACAAGTATAAAAAATATTCCATTCTGTATCAAAACTAGGCACATGCCTTTATTTATAGTAACAGAAGTTAACAGAGTTGAGCAGTTTTGCCTTGGGTTCTGTTTCCTGGCATCCTACATCAGACAAACACATATCTCAATGTATTTCCTCCCATAACTCCAGGGATCTAACTCAGGGTCGTCTGCAGGTAAAGGAAGGTGAAATCACACTTGGATCTATAGTGGTGAGTAACTAAAAGCACAACCTCTCATTCATATTGCTTTAAAACATGTACAGCATATATGTTTCAAAAAAAAGAAGAAAAGTAAAGAATATATTGATCTCTTTGTGGTGCTGAACCAACGATATGGTATGATGCAAGGCTTTAACAAATAATAATCATAGATACAAATTTTTCTGTAGTGTATGTTTTAGACAAATATGTCTTTTTAATATGTAAATCCTACACTGTAGGTTGTTCTTTTTTATTTTTTATTTTGTTTTTGCAGTGGTAGAAAATGCTGAATAATTGTCCATGAGCATGAGCCAGAGGTTCAGGTTCATAACTGAGATCCCCAGAATGCCAATATTTGCAATGCAAACAATTAGTATCCCACTGTGTGAAGGGCTCTGACACGGTGCCTGTCTGCCTCTAGATGGAGAGTCTCCATAAGAAGTCCTCTTGCTTCCACGGACCCTGCTTTGACGCAGGGCAGCGGCACGAAGCTGCCTCTTAACCTATAGCAATTTACCGTGCCAGACTGTCGTACTGATTACCAACAATGACAAAGGGACAGGAGTGTGAAGGGTGGACCCTCAAATCATTTTCATGTTGAACCTCCTGGGTCCAGCCACCTCCCCTTCCACAACAGCACCATTGTTTTTTCGGGGCACATACTCAAGGTCAATGCTGTTTTTGTGCTTTCCTTTCCCTCGGCTCCACACAAAAAGGAGAAGAAAACAAAATAAAACCACTCCCAGGAATGTGAAACAGCCCATGGCTGTAGACACCAGTATTGTTTTAAGGTCCAGGGAAAACGTATTGGCGTTGGTGCCATTGGAAATGGTGTCATTGGAGTCGGTCATGTACATAGGGGTCCTGTTCGCATAAAGAAAGCGGTCTGAAGTGAATCCTTTCACAGTTAGGGTGGCTGTAAAGGTGTCGTTCCCAGCAGCATTGCTCGCGATGCACACATACATCCCGCTGTCTTGATCCTGGGCAAAGCGGATTTCCAAGGTGCCATCACCCAACACGGTGGCTCTTCCGTTGGACTTGGCGGTGATGAAACGCCTTCGGGGAGTCACCCAGGAAATCACAGGCTGCGGGTCTCCATCGGCATTGCATTCTAGCTGGACCGTCTGCCCTTCATCCACGAGCAGATGCTGCAACTTCTTTTCACGGATTTTGGGTTTTTTGCAGGTAAAGTAAAAAGAGAGGGCAGTGCTATGGAAATCCTTGAATGACCTCTCTCGGATGGTGTCTGGGCCAGCACACATGGGCTGCTGGCCACCAAACTGCAGGGTGGGCTGTCGCTGTAAGATCCAGAGGAGACGGCAGTCGCAGGCCAGTGGGTTGTTATTAATGCTCAGGACCTCCAGTGCCCTCGGGGAGGAGAAGACATTCTCTTCCAAAGTTTCCAGCAGGTTCTGAGACACATTGAGCACACGTAGGAAGCGGAGCCCTTGGAAGGAGTGAGGCTCAATGGTGCGGAGCTGGGCCCCCACTATATGAAGCTCCTGAAGGCGGATCAGGTCAGAGAACATGCCTACTTCAATAGTGCTGATGGGATTGTAGGAGAGATTGAGGTGGGTCAGGTAAACCAGGTGTTTAAAGGCAAGGAAGGGGACCATGGACAAGTTGGTATTGGTGATGGAAAGGGATGTGAGGTTGAGACCATAGAGGCTATTGGCAGGCATCATGTCCAGCAAAGGCCAATAGTCAATCTCTAGGTGTTTCAGGTGGAACAATCTTTTAAAGGCATACACGGGCATATTGTTAATATTGAGATGCTTCAGATGCAGGCTGATGAGGCTGCGGAGGTGGGAGAGGGCTTCTGTTGGTACTGCTGTTAAGTTGCATTTCTCCAGGGTGAGCTGCTCTAAGCTAAGTAGCCCGCTGAAGGCCCTGTGTGATATATAAACCAAATCGTTGTCCCCTACTTCTAGAGACTTGAGGTTATGGAGATCTTGGAACATGTAGTCCAGTAAAATGACGATCTTATTCTCACTAATGTCAAGCTTGGTGAGATTGGACAGCCCTGTGAATACCCCCAAAGGGACCAACTTCAGGCGATTGCCTTTCAGGCGGAGGGATCGCAGGTTAAAGAGATTGTTGAATGCGCCTGGCTCCACATTGGCAATGATGTTGTCACTCAAATCTATCTCCTCCAGCAGAGGATATGATATGAATTCTTCAGGGTTGACGCTTTTCAGTCTGTTTTTACTGAGGTCCAAGATTTTGGTCTCGATGGGAATGCCCTCTGGGATGGCGATCAACCGCCTCCTGTGGCAGCTGACAGATTTGTTCTGGGCAGAGCACTCACAGCGAGCAGGGCAGCCAATGGTGGATCCCATGAAGATTAACACCACAGCCAGACCCAGGAATGGCTGCCAGCATGATATGGCCGTGTGAAGCATGACTCCACTTCTTAGTCTACACCTTGGTCACGGACCTGCACAGGAGGGGCAGAAGAAAGGAGGGAGAGAAGTTGAGTTAGGACATAGATAGGTGAATGAGGCATAAAGAATCGGTAGTTATAATGGAAAGGATGCTGGATTTGAAGTCAATCAGATCTGGGCTTCAAACCTAAGGGTTGACCTTATTAGCAACATGATCTTAGTCTAGTTATTTCACCTCTCTGCACTTAAGTTTTCTTGGGTATAAAATGGGGATAATAATAGTAATAGCTTCTCAGAGTTATCAGTGAACATTTTAGTGTTTGACAGCTATAAAGAGATAAAGACAGTGTCTGACAGACTGCAAGTTAAAACAGCATAAATTTCACACTCAATAGGCTCTATTTTGAATTCAAATGAGAGAAGCAGAGGTCAATGACTAAGCTAAAACCAGTTCAGTCTAAAGCAGTGTCTTTATTTCTAATGTTCAGGATATCATCCTCTATTCAAGATGAAGCTAATAGCAGTTTCATTCAATACAAGGCCCTTAGATTCAACATACAAAACAAAGTTACATTCAATGCAAGGTGTTGGGATGTTCTTCTTCACATAAATATTTTCTATTTTTTAAAAACCTTTCAATTATAAGATACACCTCTTTCAGAATTCAGTGAAATTTGATTTGTGAAGTGACTTTTTTATTTGAGGCAAACAAAAAAATCCTTAAAATAGCCCTGTATTATTTTTGTGTTTCTTGCAAGGATGAGGCAGAATCAAGGTACCATGATGACTATGATAAAAGTGCTTCTTTTATGATTTTGGGTTAAATACCGAGAAAAGGGAAGAGTCATAATTTTAAGAAAAAAATCTTTTAATAATAAATGAACTATTACTCTTACATATTCAAACTTAAACCCAGTGCACCTGTTAAAGTGAAATTAAATAGATGTCAAATGAAATTGGAAATGATTATGTTTTAAATGTGGATAGTTAAGTAGACATTGAATTTACTGCTCAACTGAATAACAAGAGAAGTGTTGTTAAGCTTTGCTTTCCAACTAGACGTTCCCAGGGGTACACTTTATCCACAAACACCATATTTTACTAAAGGCTAAGCAATTTGATACTATATTTTTAGGAAAAAAATGTATTTGATAAACTTCAACATTCACTTATGAATTATAAAATAATAATTAGTAAGATAATAATTCTTTAATTTACAGTGTTTATGTATATCTTTATGTCTACGTCTATACTTATGTCTATATTTAGAGAAATCTATGAATAAAAAGTAACAAGTAGGATCAAACTTAATGTTGAATCTCTAGAAAAGTTCCCCCAAAATGTAGAAACAAGGTACAGGCCTAATTAGAGAGGAATATAAGCTATACTGTACTGTAAAAATTATTCCAGTCACAGTAATTCTGAAAAATATTAAATTCTTTTTTGTTTTGTTTTTTTGAGTTGGAGTCTCACTCTGTCGCCCAGCCTCGACCTGCTGGGTTCTGGTGATCCTTCCGTCTCAGTCTTCCAAATAGCCGGAATTACAGGCATGCGCTACCACGCCTGGCTGATTTTTTAATTTATTGTAGAGATGAGGTCTTGCTGCCCAGGTGGGTCTCGAACCCGCGGGCTCAGGCAATCCACTCACCTCAGCCTCCCAAAGGCACGGGATTACAGGCTGAGCCACCGAGCCCGGCTGAATATTAAATTCTTTAGAGTAAACGTAACAAGAAATAGATAAAATGAATATGGCAGGTATTAATTCAGTGAAAGAAATATGATTGATTAGATATTTAGTGAGGAAAGTTGCATATTAACTTTATGCCTTCCAACAAAATAAATTTCAGATGAATTAAAGATTAAAATGTAAGAAAAAAATTGTACTAGAAGAAAATTCAATAATTTTATATCAATAGAGTTAAGAAGCATTTTCTATGAATAAAACTAGAAACTAGGAAGGAAAAGAATGATCTATTCTATGCATTTAAAAAGCATTGGTATAACACAACAACAAAAACATTACACACAAATAAGCAATTGCTAAACTGGAGAATATATTTAAAACTAAGACAATAGATAAAGGATTAAGGAAAAAAGGGAATGTCAATTGAAAATCAGGCAATGGATGTAATGAAAATTAAAAATAGTCAATAAATACATGAAAAGATGATGAACCACTAGTAAGCAAATAAATGCAAATTAAACAATGGGGGATATGGTTTTTGCCTGTCAAGTTGAACAAAATTTGATAATTATTTTTACCCAGAATTAACAAGGGTAGAAGAAAATGAATATCTACATACTGATATGAGGAATATAAACTGGTGCAGCCTTTAGGAGGTTCAAGTACAACTGGGAGAACATTGATATACCAAATTTAAATATATCTAAATTCAATATGTTCAACCTTTTGAACGATTTTATTCCTATTCTAGAAATGTATTATTAGGAACAATTCAAGCGGGATTGGCAGTAGTGGGAATCTGCTTGGGGAAGGGGGAACACAGCTCATCAACAAAGGTACCTGCATAATGAACATTTGTATACCTAACCCTGATTTGTACTCCACACCTTTAAAAGAAAAAAATTAAAGGTTAAAAAAATACATAGATGTTTGTTATAGATTTGTCTGTAACAGAGTAAAATAGAAATATGTAACAGTAGGAGTTTAGTTACATAAGATATGGTATAGCCATTCAATAAAATACCATCTAGCCAACATACTATAAGACTTATGTCTATACTTATTAATGTGGAAAGATGAAACAGTGATATATACTGTACTATCTTTTGTGTATGAACATATATAAATACATATGTATGTGAATATATATATATATACACACACACACACACACACACACACATATGCAAGGACAAAAATAGAAGGATATAATGAAAATATTGGCAATAGTAATTACCTTGAGGTTATAGGATTAAAAGTGATTTTCATTTGTTTCTTATAACTTTATAACGGTTCTGATTTTTTTCTATATTATATCTGCATTACTTTTCTAATTAGAAAAATGAAATTATTCTAATTTTTTGATACGTAATATTTGTACATATTTATGGAGTACACATGATATTTTGTTACATGCATAGAAGGTATAATGAAAAAGTCAGAGTATTTGTAGTATTCGTCACCTTGAGTATACACCAGTTCTAAAAATTTCAAGTTTCTTTTCTTGTTATTTTGAAATATACACTATATTATTGTTAACTATAGTCACCCTGTTCTGCTACTGGATATTATAACTTATCTCTTTTATCGAACTGTATGTTTGTACACATTAACCAACCTCTCTTCATCCCTCCTCCCCTCCTTCCCAACACCCTTTCCAGACTCTGGTATCTATCATTCTGTTCTTTACCTCCAGGAGATCAACTTTTTTTAGCTCCCACATATGAATGAGAACGTGTGTGATTTGTCTTTTTGTGCCTGGCTTATTTAGTTTAATATAATGACCTCCACTTCCATCCATGTTAGTGCAAATGACATAACTTCATTTCTTTTTATGACTGAATAGTAGTCCATTATGTAAAAACACATTGTGTATATGCCACAGTTTCTTAACCTATTTGTCCTTTGATGGATGCTTAGGTTGAACCACATATCAGTGGTTTGATAAAGTACCCAGATAATAAATTACACCCATATTAAGTGTATAGACCAGCATTTTGAAGTACAAATTAATTTCCTTAATAGATACTGGAATATTTAGATTTTCTACTTCCTTTTGTGTTGGTTTTAGCAATTTGTTTCTTTCAATTATTTTTTCTATTTCACCTAAACTATCAAATTTATTTGTCAGAATTTGCCTTTATGTTCCCTTATTATTTTTCTAATGTCTGTAAAATTTAGGAGTCATCTGTTTCATTCCTGATATTAGTGAGCTGTGCCTTTCTTTCTTCTTGATAAGTATAGCTAGATTTTTTTTCAATTTTATGGAACTTTACAATTAACCAACTTTTGCTTGTATGATTTCTCTCTTGTGAGTTCTTTCTTTTTTTTTTTTTTGAGTTGGAGTCTCACTCTGTCACCCAGACTGGAGTGCAGTGGCCGCTTCCGGCCACCGCAGCCTCGACCTGCTGGGCTCCGACGATCCTTCCATCTCAGCCTTCCAAGTAGCCAGAATTACAGGCATGCGCTACCACGCCCGGCTGATTTTTTGATTTATTGTGGAGATGAGGTCTCGCTGCCCAGGCGGGTCTCAAACCTGCGGGCTCAGGTAATCCACTCACCTCAGCCTCCCAAAGGCGCGGGATTACAGGCTGAGCCACCGAGCCTGGCTGTGAGTTCTTTCTAATCTCATTAATTCTGTTTTTATCTTATTATTTCTAATCATCTATTTACTTGGGGTTCAATTCACTCTTTTTAAAAGGTTCCTAAGAAACCTTAGATCATCAATTTTGGAACTTTCTTTTTCTCCAATATAAAGTATAAAAACTACAACTATCCCCAATGCAGTGCTTTAGATGTATTTCACAAATTTTGATTTTTAAAAAAATTATCATTCAGTCCAAAATTTACTTTCAGTCTAATTTACTTTGTGCTTTCTTCTTTGACTCATGAATATTTTAGGGGTTAGTTGGTTTATTTTCAAATATTTGTCTTTTCTATATATCTTTTTAAAAATTTCAAATTTAATTCTGTTGTGTTCAGAGAAAACACTCTACAAAATTTTAAATCTTTTGAAATCTATTGAGAATATTTTATTGGACCATCATCTGACCAATCTTGCTGGCCACTCCGTGTAAACACCTTTGAGTATTGTGGTCTCTAAAATTTTTTTAAGGTTAATGTGGCTGATTATGTTGTTCACATCTCCTAAATCCTTATTCATGTATTTCTAAGTTACCCTATCAATTACTGAGAAATGTGTGATAAAATCCCCAACTATGAATGTAAATTGGACTATATCTCCTTATACCTTTTTGTGTTATATGTGTTAAATAAAGTTCTGATATTAAGCATATGTTCAGTTTGTGTTGTATAAATCTTTATCATTAGGAAGATTTCATCTTTGGCACTAGTAATATCCCTTGT